TTTTAAAGATATACTGTCACCCCAGTTTTCAGCCAAATGCAGCAAAGTTAAATTTGGAGGCGCTTCACAATACAAATGGACAAAAAATCCAAATCACCTCAAAAAAACAACCCAGGGTTTTTTAAAGGGGAAAGAAGGGGAAAAAATTCTGCAATGGCCGAGTCAATCCCTTTAATCTCAACCCGGGGGAAATCATTTCAACTTGGAAGGAAAACCCAAAAAGGCAACGAAGACAGCGGCAGTTAGAGCTTGTAAAAACTTTTGAAAGGAGGAAAACCCAGTTTTTGGTAATTTTCCATGGGTTTAGACTTCAGGCAGTTTTTTTTCCAGAAAAAAGGATTCTAAACCCAAAATATTAAAAAAAAAACATTTTATTTATGATTATATTTAATTGCCCAATTACTTTTGGTCCCTTAAAAAGTTGGGAGGCCACTTAAGAGCTGAAAATTCCCAAAACCCTTTCCCCCAAATTTTTGATGTACTTACCCTAAAATTTAAAAACCTAGTGTGTCCCACTTTGGGCCTATATCCTTTAAATATAACTTTTAGCTTGAATATTTTTTGGGTAAATACTTGAAAAAACTAAAATTGGGCCTTGCCCAAAAATTATATATGGCCCTAACTGCTCTATTTTTCTTTTTTGTGAAAAAACGCTATTTACCCTGATACTAACAATGTTGTTTAAAAGGGTTTTTACTATGTATATATAGGCAATGTAATATTAAGCATTTATAATGTGCCCTTGAGATGATGAGGGCTTTTTTCCCTGTTCAAGCACCACTGAACCCTGAAACAGGGTGAAAAGGGACAGCAGGGATGAGTGCCAGGGGTTTGCAGTTTGCAGATCCTTGCCCTTGTGAATGCAGCCCAAAGGAAGACCCAGCAAATGTCCGAGCTGTGGGGTAAAGGTAAGAGGGGGACAGCGGGAAAGAATCATCAAAAGCTAAACAAAACTCTGGTTGCCCCCAAAAAGTTCAGGATGGAGAGCCATGGTTTAATTTAGCAACATATAGCAGGAAAATGCTTTAAAAGCAAGACGCTGCATCAGCACTAAAAACAAGTAGCCCTTTGGGAAACAAGTCAGGGGCAGAAGCGAAGTCATAGATCAAGCCGGTTAGGCCCAAGAAATGAAAGGGCAATGAAGTAGAACTGAAGTGCGAGAAAAAAACCCAAATCAGGTCAGGAGAAAATCAGGTCAAGGATTAAAATTAAGAATTAGAAGAAACAGAAGGGAAAAAAAAAAAAAGAAATAAAAAATAATAAATAAAAAAAAAAAATGGGCCCCTGTTGCTAAAGCTAGCTTGGGCAAAAAGTTACAATGCCAAGTGCTTGTGTACAAAAATGCTTCAATTTTTTCATGCAGATTATGCACATGCACATTTTTCAGGAAAATTTTAATTCCTGTTTGGGCATAAAGGGGTAATTTTCTTTTTTTTAAGTGTTTTTAAATGTGGCTGCTTCCAAAGATCCAGATTTTCATTTCCAGGACGCATTCAGCAAATGTTTTCTATTCCCGGGAAATCTTATTTGTATATCGTTTCATGGATAAATTTTTGGTTTACTTTTGAAAATATCTAAGGCCTGTGTCATGAAGTCAGCTTGAAATTTATTTGTCAAACCTCAGACCCCCCAAACCTTTAAGTTTGGGGAAATGCCAAAATTTTTAAAAAGAAAAAGTTCCCGGGGCCCTTTTTTACAGCGCCCGCCCCAAAATTTGGGTCTTGAGGATAGATTTTGTTTTGCAATTTCTAGGACACGGGGACTAGAGAAAGGGGAAGTATCAAAAATTCGATTTCGACTGATTCGCCGAATGCGTGATAAATTTTTGATTCGAGACGAATATATTCGCTGCGAATTTAACTCGATAAAAAGGTTTTTGGTTTCTAGGGCTTCCAAGAGAGCCTTTATATAGTGGCCGAACTACACTGTACCTTTAATATTAAAATGACCTCTTGGAGTTTAGGAGTCTGCTGGGGAAGAGAAATTATACTGTCAGTCCAGGTATAACATGCAGGTTGAGTGCCGTCGGATCTGAGTATCCACCGCTCACATCGTACTCACTCAATTGGGCAGTCACGGGGCCCCAAAACCAGAGTGTGGAGCCACCTGGTGTGGCCGGTGGAGGCTAGCAGCACAAGGAAGGCCATACATACAGCACCCAATGACAAAAAATGAAACCCTACTGCAGTGTGAGCGTTAGACCATGAAAGTGCACATGGCAGAGTTGTGGCGATGGAGACCAGCAGCAATGGGAAGGCCGAACAAGCGGTACCCATGGACACACTCTGGACTTGGCACAGCAGCATGAGGACAGATTACGAGGCCTGGCACAGCATAGCAATGGGAGACTCTGGCCTAGGCATCATCTATGGAGGCGTTATAAGGGGCCAATGGGCCTGCAGCACCTATGACAAAAAAAAAAAAATGGAAACACACCACAAGCAGTGTGAGGAGACCTGAAAGTGGCACATTTGGCAGAGTGTGGCGATGGAGACAGCAGCAAATGGAGTCTCCGTACAGGGACCCATGAGAAGACCACTGGACCTGGCAGCAACATGAGGAGGCGGTACAGGGGCCCATGGACAGATTAGGGGCCTGGCAGCAGTAATGGGAGGCCCGTAATCTGCCAGCACCCTATGACAAAAAATGGAACACACCAGCAGTGTGAGGAGACCTGAAAGTGGCACATGTTTTGGGCATGATTTCATGGCGGATTTAGTCAGTTGTGTCAGGAACTGGTGGTTTGTGAAATCCAGACTAATCCACGCCTGATTCATTTTCACAAACGTGAGTCTCTCCACACTTTGGGTGGACAGTCGTGGCCTCCGCCCCAGAGTTGCAATACCTCCTGCCGCACTAAACACGCGCTCCGATGCCACGCTACTGGCCGGCATGACAGCCTTTCAAGGGCAAAATTCAGCTAGTTGGGGCCAAAGGTCAAGTTTCGTTGCCCAGTAGTCAAGGGGATTGTCTACCTCGGTTGGCAGGGTGCTGTCCAAGTAGGCCTAAGCCTGTTGTTTGAGGTCCTGCTCCAGGTCCACCTGATGCTGCTGCTGCTGCGGCGGCTGGTTAGTAGTTTCCTCACTGCGCTGGTGAAGAAAGAAAGCTACTCATCATCGACTGCAGACTGAGGCAGCCGCTGCTGGTGGAGCTGCCACTGCTCCTACCACCCCACCCCTCCCCTGCTGCCATGGCAGCGGAACGCGAGCGCACAGGGCCCACAGTGTCTGAGGATGGACGTTGGCGCAGAAAGGCAGAGACCAGCTGACTACATAGGTGGTTTTTATAGTACGTTATTTTGGCCTCCCTCTCAGCAGGTGTGAAAAAAGGCCACCATTTTTTGAACGGTAGCGAGGGTCCAACAAGGTGGACAGCCAAAAGTCATCCCTCTGTCTGATGGTTATTATTCGGCTGTCGGTACGCAAGCAAGCGAGCATGCTATGGGCCATTTGTGCCAAGGAATGCGAGGGACTCCCTGCCTCCATCTCCACAGCATACTGCCACGGTGCGTCTGGGTCCTCTGTCTCCTCTTCCTCCTCCTCTACCAGATGCTCCTGCTCCTCCACTCCTGTCCGCTGAGTGGGAAAAAACCACCCATTTCACTCAATAATTCCTGAGCACCAATGTCCTCCTCTACCTCCTCCTCTTCTTCCTGTCCTGCCCCCACAGGGGTCATGTGGCGTTGAGATCTGTGCGCCACGTCTACCGCACCCTGACCAGCCATTGTTAACAGCATTTGTTCCAGGACGTGGCAACAGAGGAATGACGGTCGTTCATCCCACATAGTCCTGCCGACTCACGAATAGCGTGGCCTCCTCAAAGGGCCTGAGCAAGCGCAGGTGTCACGCATGAGCTGCCAATGGCTGACATACAATCTAAGTTACACAGGGGGAGTACCTTTATCCGCTTTTAACATCAGGAAATCTGTGATGGCCTTTTGCTGTTCGTACAGGCGGTCTAACATATGTAGGGTTGAATTCCACCTTGTGTGCAACGTCACAGCATGAGGAGGCGGTATAGGGGCCCATGGCAGATTACGGGCCTGGCTAGCAGCAATGGGAGGCCCGTAATCTGCCAGCTCCCTATGACAAAAAATGTCAACACACCAGCAGTGTGTGAGGAGATCTGAAAGAGGCACATGGCAGAAGTGTGGCGATGGAGACAGCAGCAATGGGAGGCCGTACAGGGACCCATGAGGACACTCTGGACTGGCAGCAGCATGAGGAGGCGGTACAGGGGCCCATGGCAGATTAGGGGCCTGGCAGCAGCTATGGGAGGCCCGTAATCTGCCAGCACCCTATGTCAAAAAATGGAACACACCAGCAGTGTGAGAGGAGACCTGAAAGTGGCACATGGGCAGAGTGTGGCGATGGAGACAGCAGCAATGGGAGGCCGTACAGGGACCCATGACAGACTCTGGGACTGGCAGCAGCATGAGGAGGCGGTATAGGGGCCCATGGCAGATTAGGGGCCTGGCAGCAGCTATGGGAGGCCCGTAATCTGCCAGCACCCTATGTCAAAAAATTCAACACACCAGCAGTGTGAGGAGACCTGAAAAGTGGCACATGGCACAGTGTGTGGCGATGGACACAGCAGGCAATGGGATGAGGCCGTACAGGGACCCATGACAGACTCTGGAACTTTTGCAGCAGCATGAGGAGGCGGTATAGGGGCCCATGGCAGATTAGGGGCCTGGCAGCAGCTATGGGAGGCCCGTAATCTGCCAGCACCCTATGTCAAAAATTGAACACACCAGCAGTGTGTGGTTGAGGAGACCTGAAAGTGGCACTTGGCAGAGAGTGTGGCGATGGAGACAGCAGCAATGGGAGGCCGTACAGGGACCCATGACAGACTCTGGACTTGGCAGCAGCATGAGGAGGCGGTACATTAGGGGCCCGATGGCAGATTAGGGGCCTGGCAGCAGCTATGGGAGGCCCGTAATCTGCCAGCACCCTATGTCAAAAAATTGAACACACCAGCAGTGTGTGAGGAGACCTGAAAGTGGCACATGGCAGAGTGGGCGATGGAGACAGCTGCAATGGGAGGGACCGTACAGGGACATGACAGACTCTGGACCTTGGGCAGCATGCATGAGGAGGCGGTATAGGGGCCCATGGCAGATTAGGGGCCTGGCAGCAGCTATGGGAGGCCCGTAATCTGCCAAGCACCCTTGTCAAAAAATTGAACACACACA